TGCAGTCAGTTCCGGACTTCGGTCCGATGCAGTTAGTTCCGGACTTCGGTCCGATGCAGGGGACAAGGTCCCAGTCAGTTCCGGACTTCGGTCCGATGCAGTTAGTTCCGGACTTCGGTTCGATGCAGTTAGTTCCGGGCTTCGGTCCGATGCAGGGGACAAGGTCCCGGTCAGTTCCGGACTTCGGTCCGATGCAGTTTCCGGGCTTCGGCCCGATGCAGTGGGCAAGGCCCAATATGTGTTTATATGTTATTGTATGGTATGTGGTAGTTTGGGGGAGCTCACTAAGCTTCGTGCTTACAGTTTCAGTTTTGGTTTCAGGTACTTCCGCAAGCAAAGGGAAGAGCTCGGGGTGACGGCATCGCACACACCACAGCTTTAGCTTTTAGCCTGGGATTGATTTAGTTTGTTTTGATTTGCCGTAGTATGATACACTTCCGCACAGTGTTTTCTATTATGTTGGAATACATCACGTATGGTTTTATTATATGACACTTTGATTATGGTTTGATTATATCGAAAAACGAAATTTTTGGGTTGTATTTTTGGGTCGTTTCACCGCAAAGAAACAACTGGTTTCGGTAAATGTTGCCACGGTACCTACTACAACTCCTACAATCACCTACCCAACAAAGCCTTATGAAGGTAACTGTCCAAAGTGCACCAAATGCACTTACCACCACCATGGACCTTGTTGGGAAATGCAGTGCGCCAACTGCAACAGAAAGGGACACACAACCCGTTTCTGCAAGGATCCCGCAAGGCCGATCACTCAAGTTCCCAGTGCAGGTATAGGCCAGAGTTGCTACGGTTGTGGCGAGGTGGGCCACTACAGGAGGAACTGCCCTAAGGCAGCAGGCACCGGCGGTGTGGGATGAGTTTTGACTATAGGCCAAGACGAAGCTATAGCAGACCCAACTGTAGTTGCTGGTACGTTCCTCCTCGATAATTCATATGCATGCATATTATTCGATAGTGGAGCGGAGAGAATCTTCATGAGTCAAAACTTTATTCACTTACTTAAACCTAAACCTAGCAAACTAGAAAAATCATTCACTGTAGAGATGGCCAACGGAAAAACCAAAAACACTAACTACATATACAAGGAATGTACGTTAACTTTAGACGGTCATTTTTTCCCAATCAATCTCATGCCAGTTCCTATTAAAAGTTTTGACGTCATAGTCGGTATGGATTGGTTAAGTCTTCTTCACGTCGACATTATGTGTTTTGAAAAAGCAGTTCGCCTTAATCCTCCTAACAACGAAACATTAGTGATTTATGGCGACAAATCAAGTACGAACCTTCGTATCATTTCGTGCGTCCAGGATCGAAAGTGTTTACGGAAGGATTGTCGAGCATTCCTAGCGCACATCGTCGATACAAGCCAGGAACTGAAGGACATCAAGAACATTCCAGAAGTACGCGACTATCCCGATATCTTTCCAGAAGAACTACCAGGATTACCACCACAACACCAAGTCGAATTCAGAATCGAATTAGTTCCAGGGGCTACCCCAGTAGCGAAATCGCCTTATCGTCTGGCACCAGCAGAGATGCAAGAACTTTCCAGTCAACTTAATGAACTCCTACAAAAAGGATTCATAAGACCAAGTTTCTCACCTTGGGGAGCACCGGTCTTGTTCGTAAAGAAGAAGGACAGATCGTTCTGTATGTGCATCTACTACAGGGAGCTGAACAAACTTACTGTCAAGAATCGTTATCCTCTACCCCGCATTGACGATTTGTTTAATCAACTTCAAGGAGCAAACTACTTCTCGAAGATAGATCTACGATCCGGATATCACCAATTACAGGTACTTGAGGGGGATATTCCCAAGACAGCTTTCCGAACTCGTTATGGGCACTACAAATTTGTCGTAATGCCATTTGGATTAACCAACGCACCAGCAGTATTTATGGACCTAATGAATAAGGTATGTCGTCCCTACTTAGATCAGTTCGTCATTATCTTTATCGATGATATACTTATCTACTCCCAAAGTAAGGAAGAGCATAGTCAACACCTACGAAAAGTCCTAGAAACACTACGATCGGAGAAACTCTATGCGAAGTTCTCTAAATGCGAATTTTGGATTCGAAGAGTCGAATTTTTGGGCCACATAGTTGGCGAGAAAGGGATACACGTGGACCCCTCCAAAATCAAGGCCATCGAGAACTGCTCGGCACCAAAGACACCTACAAAAATTCGTCAATTTCTAGGTCTTGCTGGCTACTAGAGAAGTTCTTATCGCAGATTCATAAAGAACTTCTCTAGCATTGCGAAACCTCTTACTACATTAACCCAGAAAGGCGTGGCCTTTGACTGGGAAGAAAACAAGAGAAGGCATTCCAAACACTGAAACAGGCCTTGTGCACCGCACCGATACTATCCCTCCCCGAAGGGATAGAAGACTTCGTAGTGTATTGCAATGCGTCAAATCAAGGACTTGGTTGTGTTCTTATGCAGAGAGGGAAAGTTATTGCTTATGCCTCCCGACAGCTTAAGACCCACGAAGTGAACTATACGACACACGATCTCGAGTTAGGAGCAGTAGTATTTGCTCTGAAAATCTGGAGACACTATTTATACGGAATAAAGAGCACTATTTTCACCGATCACATGAGCCTTCAACACATTTTTGATCAGAAGGAACTCAACATGCGGCAACGACGATGGGTTGAGTTACTAAATGATTACGAATGCGAAATTCGTTATCATCCTGGCAAGGCCAACATGGTAGCTGATGCCCTCAGTCGAAAGGAATACACTGGTCGGAGGGTCAGATCTCTGACTATGACTATCCATTCCCACTTATCCACACAAATTAAAGAGGCACAAATGGAAGCTTTGCGACCTGAAAATGTGGCGGGTGAATCCCTGCGGGGAATGGAAAAGAATCTAGAAGTCAAGGGTGGCGGAGCATATTATCTTATGAATCGAATCTGGACGCCGAAACATGGCGGGTTCAGAGACGTAGTAATGACTGAAGCACACAACACGAGGTATTCTGTTCACCCGGGTTCAGATAAGATGCATCTGGATCTTAAGAACTTGTACTGGTGGCCTAACATGAAAGCAGAAATTGCTATCTTCGTAAGTAAATGCCTTACTTGCGCTAAGGTTAAGGTCGAGTATCAGAAACCCTTAGGATTACTACAACAACCGGAGATACCAGAATGGAAATGGGAACGGATTACTATGGACTTCATAACCAAGTTGCCCAAGACGACGGGTGGACTCGATACCATATGGGTCATCGTCGATAGGTTGACCAAATCCGCGCATTTCCTACCCATCAAGGAGACTGAAAAAATGGAAAAGCTTACAAGAACTTACTTAAGGGAAGTAGTGCGACTGCATGGTGTTCCGATATCCATTATCTCTGACCGAGATAGTAGATTCACTTCAAGATTCTGGCAGTCACTACAAGGTTCCCTGGGGACTAAGCTAGACATGAGTACAACCTACCACCCACAAACAGACAGGCAGAGTGAGAGAACGATACAGACTTTAGAAGATATGCTGAGAGCCTGTGTGATTGACTTTGGAAAGGCATGGGATATCCATTTACCCATTGTCGAATTTTCATACAACAATAGTTATCATACAAGCATAAAGGATGCTCCGTTCGAAGCCCTCTATGGTCGAAAGTGCAGATCCCCTCTGTGCTGGACTGAAGTTGGCGATACCCAGTTAGCTAAAGGAAGAGCTTCTGAAAGCACTCTCACCAGTCCGGAAATCATACGAGAAACAACATAGAAGATCGTTCAGATTCGTGAACGATTGAAGGCCTCTAGAGACCGACAGAAAAACTACGCTGACCAAAGGAGGAAACCTTTGGAATTCCAGGTAGGAGACCACGTTTTATTAAAGGTCTCACCGTGGAAGGGTTTAATACGCTTTGGAAAGCGGGGGAAAGTAAATACAAGATACATAGGGCCTTTCGAGATTCTTTCCAAAATCGGCCCTATGGCATACAAGCTTAACCTACCGCGTGAACTTAGTAACATACATCCAACCTTCCATGTCTCAAACTTGAAATAGTGTCTGTCCGATGAGACTCTTGTTATTCCACTCGACGAAATCGAGATCAACGAGAGTCTCAACTTTGTGGAAGAACCAGTAGAAATCATGGACCGAGAGGTCAAACAAACAAAACAAAGTCGCATACCCATTGTGAAGGTTCGCTGGAACGCCAAGAAGGGACCTGAATTCACATGGGAACGCGAAGATCAGATGAAACAAAAATACCCTCGTCTCTTTCATGTTCACTAGTGTCCTTACTACTTTAAATTTCGGGACGAAATTCCCTCTAACGGGGGGATGATGTGACAACCCGATATTTCAACTCTTTGTAATGGCCTAATAGGTTAAGTATTGTAACCATTTATGAGTTAATCAAAATAAACGTTGATAATAAAACGTCCAAAAAGTTTCCATTTAACTACCTACTATGTTTTACATCATTAAACCGGGATCGTACGTAAAAAGAATGCCCAAACCCGGCTTCGTATACTGAAGTTAAGATGTTTTTTTTTCCAAATTCGGCTTAGCAACAGTCAACTAAAAACTCGAATCAGAGATCGAGCGACTTTTGGCCGGAATGACCTAAATGAGAATCGAAGGTCTCGACAATGGTTTTTCAGCGGTAAAAATTTTGGCAAAAACCGACGTCAGATAAAGAAGTTATGAATTTTTAAAGAAATTCCTTAATCACGTCATTTTAATAAATAAATAATAAAAATAACTTCGGAATTTGCCGACGGAATCTAAACGAAAGTTGTAGATCGTAGTCTCACCTTCGCGGGGATATAAAGAACATCGAAAACGGAGTTCATATGAAGGAGATATGAATTTTTGAAGTTTGATAAATAATTTATATATAATTTTTATTAA